TCTCGCCCTATCCAGAGCAATTTGTACGAAGTCTGTAGCTTCTGTGATATTGGAGATAGGGCGAAAGATTGAAGGCCTCAACAGTGACCTTGATGGGATGGTAGTGACTACGCCTACGAAGTTTGAAAGAAATTGGGATAGGGGAAAGGACATAGAAAGGGCTCGCAAGTACTGCGTGCCAAAACCAAGGGGATTTGGTGCATGATTGTCATTGCAATAAAGATCGTTCTGGGGGTCAAAAGCGTGAACCCGATATGCCCCATAGACAATGCGTGTAATGCATGAGCGGAAAGCGTACAGGATCTGTATTATGACCGGAGTTAAATTGTTTTTCTCTCTCTTTTTATGTCTCTTTATTGGCCGTATTTGGTATCATTAGAGAATTTCATGATTGTTTTTGTAAACCACTCTCTTTTTTTTCTATGAAACATGTGATGTATAATAGATTTATAGGACAAAATGGCGTCTTAAATGGCCCCATTGACCAATTTTTAAAATCCTCCCAAGAGGTGCCCTGCGTAATGGAACTCGGCATGTCACTGCAAATTTTCAAGGAAACAAAAGGACATTTAAGGGGCGAAAAGCAGTCTGGAAAAATTACGTCATAGCAGATTCGTGTTAGATTCGGGCGGAAACTCGGCGGAATTCGTGTAGTGACCTTTGTTCAAATGCAATTTATTCACAATTTTCTGTGTGAACATATACTATACTTGGTATCATTCGAAAGGGCACTTCATTGCGGTCAGATTGACACCACTGTTATGTGCACGCAATGTATTGCATTACACGCGCTATTACGTAATGCGTAGTAAATTCATCATTTTGGGCGATAACTTTGCGCTGACATATTTGAATTTTACCAAACTTGGCAAACAGTTGTCACGTATATGGATACATTTGTCTGCTAAGTTTCATTGATGTAGGTATAAAGATCGCTAATTTAGAGCAATTTGAAGTTATTTCTCAATTTTCTTGAAAATGGCGAATTTGGAGGGCATTTTTCGCAAAGTCGGTCAGTGTTAGGGTAAATAATTTTGTATATGGCTGGAAAGGGCATATCTTCAAGTATCTAAATCTAAAAAAGGGTACGGGTTTGCCAAGCCATAATGGAGATACGGCCACAGAAAGAAAGCCAAATCCTAGAACTTTAGAGGGCGCTATTTGTGTTGTGCATAGCCATTGGAGCCTGAAATTTGGCATGGCTATGTGCAATTATAAGATAAGGGTACTGTGAGATTTAAATACAAAACGAAATTTATATGAGAAAGTTATGGCACTTTTAGATTTTTATGGGTCAATTTTTCAAGAATTTGAGAGATTTTTGACGGAGTCGGTTTCAGATTTGAATTTTGAGTACGAAGATGGCATTTTCAGGTCAGGTTATTTGTCGCAAATAAAAGAACATCTCTTAGACTATCTAAAGGATTTTGTTAGAAGTTTGTCGGATCCAGGATAGTGGAGATAGGAAGGAAGAAAGAAAGGCTTTAAAACGGACCAGAAACGGACAAAATGGCATGAGTGATTTTGAAAATCGAAGAATGTAGTGACCTTGATGAGATGTTAGAGACTATGCCTATGAAATTTGAAAGGAAAAGAACATGAGGAAAGCACCTAACTAGGAATGACAAGCACTACGTTCAAAACGAATGCGATTTCCTGACGATAAGGAAAACACTAAGGAGAAGAATATTAACGGGGCACAATGTGAACGAAAACAAGGCAATAACGAAGGTCGTCATTGCAAATAGATTCTGACGAATTCAATAGGTGCTCTGCTTACGTTACCAGCAGATCACCTGAAAATAAGCTTCAAAAGACGGGAATGTAGACCCAGTAAATTATTGGACCACATTTTACTAATTCAGTTTAACCAGACACTGTACAATCACGTTTAACAAATTAAGGGAAAACTTAGAGCGTAGACTACCTTCTGATTATTTTGAACAAAAGCATATACTAACACTCAGTTTCAAATGCTGAACCACTTGACTGCGTACCACGAACATGTACGTGTTCTCGCTCTCGCATGCCTGTGCGTACCACGTACATGATGTACGTGCTTAGGGCATTCCCTTACAAAAAAAATCTATGATATTCCTATGGTACGGCTCTATGGTGAATGGTATTTCTATGATATATTATATGGTAGAATATATTTCTATGGTATACCACACAATTGCTGAATGGTGGAGTTCTATGGTCAATGGTATATCATTGATGCCGTCCTATGGTGTATGGTATTTCTATGATATATTATATGGTAGAATATATTTCTATGGTATTTCTGTTGAATGGTATCCCTATGGTGGAGGATATTTCAGTGGTAGGCCTATGGTGGATGATGACTTTATGGTATATCTATGGTGGTTATGTGACTCTATGGTGGCTCTAAAGTGAATGGTAGATCTATGGTAGCTCTATGGTGGCTGTATGGTGTATGGTATTTCTACGGTATGTTATATGGTAGAATATATTGCTATGGTATTTCTGTTGAATGGTATCCCTATGGTGGAGGATATTTCAGTGGTAGCTCTATGGTGGATGATGACTTTATGGTATATCTATGGTGGTTATGTGACTCTATGGTGGCTCTAAAGTGAATGGTAGATCTATGGTAGCTCTATGGTGGCTGTATGGTGTATGGTATTTCTACGGTATGTTATATGGTAGAATATATTGCTATGGTATTTCTGTTGAATGGTATCCCTATGGTGGAGGATATTTCAGTGGTAGCTCTATGGTGGATGATGACTTTATGGTATATCTATGGTGGTTATGTGACTCTATGGTGGCTCTAAAGTGAATGGTAGATCTATGGTAGCTCTATGGTGGCTGTATGGTGTATGGTATTTCTACGGTATGTTATATGGTAGAATATATTTCCTTGGTATTTCTGTTGAATGGTATCCCTATGGTGGAGGATATTTCAGTGGTAGCTCTATGGTGGATGATGACTTTATGGTATATTTATGGTGGTTATGTGACTCTATATGGTGGCTCTAAAGTGAATGGTATATCTATGGTAGCACTATGGTGGCTGTATGGTGTATGGTATTTCTACGGTATGTTATATGGTAGAGTATATTATATGGTATTTCCGTTGAATGGTATCCCTATGGTGGAGGATATTTCAGTGGTAGCTCTATGGTGGATGATGACTTTATGGTATATTTATGGTGGTTATGTGACTCTATATGGTGGCTCTAAAGTGAATGGTATATCTATGGTAGCACTATGGTGGCTGTATGGTGTATGGTATTTCTACGGTATGTTATATGGTAGAGTATATTATATGGTATTTCCGTTGAATGGTACATGTATATCCCTGTGGTGTAAGATATTTTAGCAGTAGCTCTATGGTGGATGATGATTTTATGATATATTACTAGTGGTTAGTGACTCTATGGTGGCTCTACCGTGGCACTTTTTACATAAAAGGGCCCCTTTACTTTAAAAAGTGCCCCTATTATAAAGTGCCCCTTTTATTTTGATACGTACCCCTTTTCCTTCGATAAGTTCCGGTTTTCCTTTGCAATAAGTGTCCATTTTCCATTCTCATAAGTGCCCTTTTTTCATCTCTAGTAAGTGCCCCTTTTCAGATACGAGAAGTGCCCCTTTTCACTTTTGATAAGTGCCCCATTCACCTCTGATTATTTCCCTATTCAAATCTGAGAGGGGCTAATTTCCCCTTTTAATAACTACCCCTTGTTTAACTCGGATAAGCGCACCTTATATATTTTCACATGTGCCCCCTTTCCTTTCTAACAAGTGCCCCCATTAAAAGAGAGCCCCTTCCCTTTATCATAAATGCCCCCTTTTCATCTATGAAAACAGTTACTTTTCATTCTTAAGTCCCTCTTCATTCTCATAGTCCCGTTCCATCTCTAGTAAATGACCCTATTAAATTCTGAGAGGTACTCGTTTTATTTTGACAAGTGTCCCTTTTCCTCCTGATAAGTGCTCTTTTCATCTTCAATAACTGCCCCTTTTATTTTGACACGTGCCCCCTTCCCTTCGTAATAAATGCTCTTTTTCCTTCTTTTAAGTGCCCCATCCCCTTCCCATAATTACCCCTTTTCATCTCTCATAAGTGCCCCGTTTATCTTGACATGTGCCTCTTTTCTTTTTAATAATAGCCACTTCCCCCTTCTCATAAATCCCTTCTTCCCCTCGTATTAAATGCCCCTATTAAAAACTGATCGGTGACCCTTTTCGTACAACAAATGAACATTTCCCTTATTATTAGTGCCGCCTTTTCATTCTCATAAGTGCCCCTTTTCTTTTCACCTCAGATAATTAACCTTTAACAATGATACGTGCCCCATTTTCACCTTCTGATAATTACCCGTTGTAATTTGACATGTGCTTCTTTTCTTTTCTAATAAGTGTCACCCTTTTCGATAAGTGTCCCCTTTTCCTCTCATCACGTGCCCCTAATTTCCAGCTACTAAGAGTAATATCACCCCAAGCACACTCGCATTTCTAGATGTTATAATTATGGTACTTATCAAAGGTCTTTTCAGTCTTTTGTTATGATAATGTAATAAACCCATCAGGATTGGGTTTTTCTTCTTTATAATTGATGTAATTTTTCGCACTGCGACCTCACAAATCTTATTTATAAAGATAAAAAAAATATTGAAATCATCCCTGATAATGTAATCACAATATAGGGGGTATATACAAATGTTGTTTTTTTTAATATATATTTTCGCTTTGAGATTTCCCTTTGTAGGTGCCCTATTTATTTTCTCCAGAAAGTGCCCTTTTTTGTTGGTGCCCCCCCCCCGGCCCTCACCCCCACCCCCCCCCCCCCCCCACTTTGGAAGTCGCACCGCTGCCTCTGTTTGCACTCAATTAGTCTCAATCAATTAAAGAAATAATTAAATAAAAAATTCTAAACCAAATTGTAAAAAGTAATGTATATCAGCAGAAAGTAGATAACAAGGGCTGTTTGCTGCCACCTTGTGCCCAAGATTTGAATAACTCTTCTAGCCGTTGGTCTCTATACCAATTTCTACTCACTGAAAATGCTTCGCAAAACTCCAAAATATGTGAGGAAGAGGAAGGTGTTCAAAGGAGATCAATACCAGGTATTACAGAAGAGTAACATGAATGCTGGAGAGGTGCCAGAAGAACTAACAGCTAATTCATAGATTGAGGAAGCTTTCCCTGAATAAGTGTTTGGACAGCCCTATTTTTGGCCCTGGTCCCACATGTGAAGATCCGCGTCATGACATTAGTGGCCCACAACTTGCAGCTGCTTTGCAAAAGGCTCACGTGTGTCTGGGAGGTATGTACTTACTATCAAACAATATTTTTAGTTTGCAAACTGTTACTTTGAGATTGTATTGCATGCTCAAGGGGTGAATGGCTCAAAAAGCCAAATCAAATGATTAAGAATAGAGTAAAGGAGGGGGTAATCGACCATCACCAGTTTTCGGCCGATCCGTTGGATGCATGGTAAAATCCCTTTAAAATACATCGCATAACAGCATATCAGCATATCATATATCCCACACATACCATACCATGCCAGAGTCACTGACGAATATTTCCTAAATATCACATTTTAGCGATGTAATCGGCGATCCCGCTCCCCGAATCTGAAAAAATAAGTATCTTACGCGTGTAAGGAATATGGGTATCATAAAATGAGCTTTATTTCAAGTATTTTTCAGATTTAGAGTCCGATTTTGTGTGAGTCGCAAGCTCAAAAGTATCTCATCGCATGTATTTAATCAATGCAGGCGGATACCGCAGCGCACACACGATATCTCTGTCTAATTCAGATTCCAATTTCTGATCACCGCAGAGGTAGTTTTCGGCACGGGAAGCTCCGGCTTGGGATACCTGCTCCGGCCGCTAGTGCTATAGATCAGTGGTGAAACGCATGGCGCGCTTGCTTGCTTGCTTCCTATTGACTTTGTACATGCGGCCGAAAACTACCTCCGAAACAGTGAAAATGGAAATGAATGTTGTCATGGCAATTCATGATTTTTTTTCTGGGATTCTTTCTTTGTTTAAATAATAATAGTATTTGCTTCATGATTTGAACAAGAAATGATAATAAATAGGAAGTAAAGAGTCCAAAAAATAGGATTTTGTCTTAAGTGGCCGAAAAACCTTTACTCTATGGTGAATTGAAGTGGGGGCATCGGAATGTACAAAAATAAGGATGGGGTCTAAAGACTACTCCAGCAAAGCATAGAGAATAAGAGAGTCAATGCTATTGCGTATTGACCTTAAGCACTGCACTACGCGTTAATAGGTAGCATTTGCTCACATAAATAGTCGATACACTCTCAATACACAAATACACACAATCATGCCGATGTGACCAATCGGCATGATTGTGTGCCTTTTGTGTATTGAGATTGTATTGACTATTTATGTCGATGCGGCTGATCGGCAAGTTTGACAGTAGACATACAATTTAAAATTTTTAAATTATTCTTTCTCATATTGGTACGTTAAAAAATTGTATTTTACTGCTATTTAGGTGTCATCAATTGTCACTTAAGTACTGATTTTGAGTGAATTTAGTTGAGTTTTGGGCGCTAGTTCAGAAGCCTACCCAAAATTTGACCTGTAACTCCGGCGTGGATACTTAAAGTCAAGTAAATGTTCAATAAATGTCCAAATAAAAATCATGAGTTACACGTTGTTATGTTGATTACCCGTTTCGTGTCAATTTTCTTGTTATTTTTGGAGAATTTTGTGGAAAAACATTGATATTAGTACACTTTTTCGCAGGTTTCACGTCAAAACTGCTGCACAATACAAGTGCATACCGATACCGATAGTGGGTTGCGGGCGGGCGCACGCCTGTGTGAAGTTATCTACCGTAATGAGGATCCGAGACATTACCGTAGATAACTTCACACAGGCGCGCCCGCCCGCAACCCACCATCGGTATGCACTTGTATTGTGCAGCAGTTTGTCGTGAAATCTGTGAAAATGTGTATTTGTGTAATATACTACATGTATGTCATAACTAGCACTTTGTTATTATTTGGGGATTTTGCTTTTCAAAATATTTTCCCTGTTCCATAAAGTGTTTTGGATATCTTTTACAGGGCATCTCATTCCTCTGGAGAATTTGTCAAAGAGGAATGGGTTGAACTACGCCATGGTCCTTGGTTGCTTCATTTGCAAAAAGGAGAGGACATTCTCTTCATCAGAAAATGAATGCGAAGGACGTGGAAAGTCTGCAGAAATAAACCGCAGAGCTACTCTGGCAGCAACGGAGGTTGGTTTGGCACGGGATAGCTTGTGCGACTTGCTGACCATCCTCGGAACAGCCCCACTAGTCAAAGCCCCTAGCTACAACAGGCACATAGCCGCTCTATCTTCCTTATCCCAAGAGGTTAGTCACCAGCCTTGTGTTTTCTTCATTACATTATCTTAGCTGTACATACATTTAATCAAAACATATTTTTATTTCTTAGTTATGGTCGATAGACAGTATAATACATGTACATCAATATCCCTTCTTGTCAAATCAAGGGATGAAAATTAATCAAATCTAAATATTTGTAATAGGGTCTAATAAGTAAGGGGCCTGAGGAAACTTGAAATTTACTTGTTATTTATTACAAACTCTTTTTTTGTTTTGCAGACCAGTAAGGATCAGAAGAAGAAGGTGGCAGCATGCTTACGTCAAAGGACCATGGACAAGGATCTGACCATCGGGGAAAATTATTATGTGGACGTGGCAGTGCCCTACGATGGAACATTGCATAGACGAGGTTACACATCGAATCATAGGGTGGGGGTAGTGATACCAATCGATACAGGGGAGATTGTTTAACACAGAGGGTCTATCAAAATCATTTTATTTGAGTAAAGAAAGGGTTGGGTCTTCAGTGTTCTCAGCCAGAGGGACCTTGATCTGAAGACTCCAAAACTGAGCAGCAAGGCTTGTCTTTTCTGCTCTCTTCGAACTCACATACAACCTCTTTGACTTGAACTTCATTGTACATGTTTATACAATGTTTTAAAACATTTCTGTGCTGCAACTCAGTGCCTTAGTTTTTATTGTACATGTTTATATATTTTTAACTTGCCTTTCATTTTAGTCATGTTTACATACACACTATATATGACATTTTAGTTATTTAGAGGAACTAGGGTGATATATGTGGGTATTTATTACACCTTAGTAGAATAAGTCCACGTAATATGTGTTGCAATTACGAACTTGCCTTTCATTTTAGTTTGTAGTGTACATGTTTATGTGATACATTTTTTACTTGCCTTTTATTTTAGTTTTTAGCATATGTACATGCATACAACTTTTGATATAAACCAAATACATCCTGCCACTTTCATTCAATTCATTTTTTTAATAAGCGTCATGTGTGTATTGTAAGTTAACATTTAAGTTTAGATTTCTCAAAAATTCAATATATTATAGTCACCATTCTGTGTACTATAGAACGCACTACAGCCACCATTCTGCTAACCATAGATCAAGACCCTAACTACCATTCTGAATATACCATTTCAAAATGCTACAATTAAGCGTAACATTTTGTTGCATATTTTGAATGGTAGTGAATGGTAGATGAATGGTGGCTCTATGGTAGAAGAATGGTGGCTCTATGGTAGATGAATGGTGGCTCTATGGTAGATGAATGGTGACTCTATGGTAGATGAATGGTGGCTCTATGGTAGATGAATGGTGGCTCTATGGTAGATGAATGGTGGCTCTATGGTAGATGAATGGTGGCTCTATGGTAGATGAATGGTTACTCTATGGTAGATGAATGGTGGCTCTATGGTAGATGAATGGTGGCTCTATGGTAGATGAATGGTGGCTCTATGGTAGATGAATGATGGCTCTATGGTAGATGAATGGTGGCTCTGTGGTAGATGAATGGTGGCTTTATGGTAGATGAATGGTGGTTTTATGGTAGATGAATGGTGGCTCTATGGTAGATGAATGATGACTCTATGGTGGCTCTATGGTATATGAATGGTGGCTCTATGGTAGATGAATGGTGGCTCTGTGGTAGATGAATGATGGCTCTATGGTAGATGAATGGTGGCTCTATGGTAGATGAATGGTGGCTCTATGGTAGATGAATGGTGGTTCTATGGTAGATGAATGGTGGCTCTATGGTAGATGAATGATGACTCTATGGTGGCTCTATGGTATATGAATGGTGGCTCTATGGTAGAATATGTAGGTGTGGCCTAATTTGAATAAATGAATAAATTTGTCCCAATTATTTTAATTAGTTCTATGGTAAATGAATGGTAGATCTATGGTAGATTTGCTATGGTGTTTGTATGGTAATCTATGGTAGATTTGCTATGGTGTTTGTATGGTGTACCATAGAGATTTTTTTTGTAAGGGTTGTACTTTCAAGACCGTAGCACTGCATAATGCCTAGCCCTACCGTATAATTAGCACTGCAATGACGTTATACAGGTCTTAAACAGTAGATGACGCTCCTCCAAAAAAAATCCGACTTTTTTGTGTACAGTGTAGTTTACAAAAATGCTGTAGCACAGGGACTATAAACACGTTTTAGGCCAATAGCAGTCAAGTGGTTAAAGAAAAATTGTTCAGAAAATATGGGCCATAGTGTGCTCAAGATGTTTACAAAAGGTCTTGGGGGCATTGAAACCTTTATAGTCCAGGGGTAGTCCAGCCTGATATAAAGTTGATTCTAAGGCCATTAAAAAAAATGTACATGTTTAGCGTCCCTGCCCGCTTGAAAAACACTGCTAAAATGGATCTATTTCTGATTTGAAGACAAAAAAAAATGCTGGCGGTCATCTTGAAAAATAGCCTGACTATCAGGGAAAATCTACCGAACAGCCTTTTTGAGCGGCCAATTTGAAAGAATAAAAAAGGGCATCCTCCTTCATATTTTTCAAAAAGTCAGGACGCTAAACATGTTGTTTCTTTTATTTGGCCAAACTGAAGCAAAAAGAGGAGAGGAAGAGGTCAATTAAATTTTGAGCACATTCCGATTAAATAAGAAAGTCTATCTCTCATATATATACGCATGTATAATATAGCAATCTGACCGAACAAACCCATTCATACAAAAAAAAAAGCTAAAAGTTAAAAAGATTTTTTTTTTTTAAAGATTGAGATAAGTATGTTTTGCAGAACATGTTTTGGGTGTCAAGCTTTTAACACAGGCGCGGATTTAGGTGGGGGCACAGGCAGCCTGTGCTCCCTCACCTTTTTGGCAGGTAAAAAAAAATTGAGGGGGGGGGGAATAAGCTTTAAAAAAAATCCTAGGTACGAGTTAGATTGTTTGTATTGCGCTGCCCATCACCCATTGCGTTCATGTAGGCAGGGGCAAGCCATGCACTTCCTGGTGTCCTTTTTTTCTTCCAGATTCTTCCTATTTCCTTCGCGATATTTCCAAATGGTTGTTCCCATTTTGCCAGAATTTTCCCTTTTCTTCTAAATTCCCCCAAATTTTGCTTGTCATGGGACCTCTCCCCCCCTGACGCCATTACCAACAAAACAGCTTTAGTTCAATTTATCGTTCTCTAGATTTTCTCTGTATTCCTTACTCCTTTTTCTGAATCTTACTCTTGTAAAACTCCAATTTAGAGAGATATACAGCAGACTAGTGATATTTGTATTCATCTAGGCCTTGTCCTACACAACTTGATTTTTACAATTAAAGCTCAGACGTCATAAAAAAAAAAATCAAGCAAATCAAAAACAAAAAGCATATGCAAAGGTTGAATCAAGTACTGTGCTCGTCTAACTGTATAAATAAACCAGCTTTCCACATTCCTGCTATGTCCGTTTTATGAGTATTTGCTATAATAGAAAGCAACGTGATTGAAAAAACAATTTATTTATAACATTTCTTATCATTAACTCAAATTCCTCTATTTTCTTATAGGTTTTAATACAGCTGAGGAGCTTTCTACTGCCAAAGAGAGCAAGAGCCAGAGCCTGAGATAGACAGAAGTGTCCAACACCTCGATTTATTGATTGGATCAATAACTATCACAACACAAAATGAACACTTTCAATCCCACCTGTCTGCTACTATGCCTGGCTAATCTGACATTTGCATGTAAGTAATCCATGTTTTCTCCACTTCTCGGCGTTGAAAACAAATTATTTGAATATATTTCTCCCTTTTATTTAATAAAAAAATTGTTGATTAGTTTTCTTGATGTTGCTGAATGGCTGCTTTGATCACAACATCTTATTAGAGTGTAGTGAGCAAATAAAAACTTTTGATATTATTCTTTCTGGCTTTTATAGAATTATCAAGATGTACATTTTGAAATCAACATTTCTTGTATACATAAGCCAATCTACTCATTAATCCCATGTCTCTATACATAAATTTGCAAACAAATAGGTCTTAAACTACAAAATGCAGGAGAAAAAATATTCCACAAGTATTCTGTCATCATATTTTTTTCTCCTTTAGGCATTTCTACTGTTGGTCGCCTTTTTATATCAGGCATATTTTTTACAAATTCAAAGCTGAAAATTATGGAGAGAAAAAGAAAAACTGCTAAAACCACATTAATTCTCTAAATATTATTTAGAAAAACATGGCAGTACACTGTATACCAACAAATAAATATACTACTATTACCTAAAAAAGTGTTATCACACTTGTAAGGCCACTTTGGTTGAAAATATTCATACATGTACAATAAAATCATTCTACAAAAATAGATCCACGAATCCCCCCCCCCCCACCAAGAAAAGAAAACTTGAAAGAAGACCACTGAGTAATTCCAGAATACAGGATTAGCTTATGTAAGTTGTACGTAAATTGTGCATATTCCATACGTACAACTTCTGCAGTAATATTTCAAAATAAATCATGATTAGATTCAAATATATACATACATTTCATCCTTCACATTAGGTTATTTATCAATGTAGCTATGGGCTCAGGCACAGAAAACCAATTAAATGCGACTTTTGAAATATGAAAGATATATAACAACTTTAGATTGTTTTTTTCGTAATTACTTCTAAATAATTATAGGTCTAGAATTTATTATGACAACAATGAGCCAGATCAAGAGCATCAATGCACTATCTCAGTGGAGCCAAAAAGCCACATCATTCTTCATGGATTGAATTAGATCAGGATCCATTTGATATGTTCTGTCTGCCTTATCTTCCACCGTCTTTCCCTATATACCCCTTCTCCTCTCCCGCCCAAAGTGTATGCTTGTATGCCTCGGTCTTTCTAAGTTTTGTCTCTCTGTCTGTGAGTCAGTCTCTTTTTCTTTCTGTTCTGCTCGTTTTTTTAGAATATCTCCTGCCCTCCATCTTCCTATTTCTTAAATAATGTATTTCTATAACCCTTTTCTCTCTTTGTTACTCCCTTTTTTTTTGTACGTTTATTGAAAGCATGAAATAGGATGAGGATGTGGATAGTTGAACATTCTTGTTTTTTCACTTTCGAACAGTGGTAAAATTCATTGCTATTCAGCAGCTAAAAGACATATTTTACAATTATTTTTAGCAACTCCCTGTAAAAGAGAAAAATATGAAAAGAAAAGAAAAATGCAATCCTTTCTATTGATGTCATGCAACAAGACCTGTAGGGCCCAAATCAAAATTTTAGTTGCGAGGGCTACTTCTTAACTATGCTGTTCTTATATTTTGTGCATTTCAACACGTATTACCCGAAATGTTATTCAACAGTTAAGCCATGGTCTCATCCGACCTGCGTAGGTGTAGCGAGGGGGTTCACATATATTTTTGGGTTGTACATTCGCAGGTGGCCCTTGCGTACGAAGCAAGTAGCCCACGTAGCCTTCATTCTCCTATACGGAGAAAAATTGGACATATACAATTTTCGGTCCACGATGATTTGTCGCCCGGCTACTGCGTGGCTGATGGGTGGGTAGCCTTTAGACAAGGCTGCATGTCTGATAGACGCCGAGCGACTAAAAAGTGACTAATCGCGAAAACCCGAGTGAACGGCAGAGCGAGTGGCCCAGCCAAGTAGCCTTTAGTAATCTGATTTGGATTTCTTATGTTAACCCTTGTTTCCGACTGGAATTCTCTACCGAAATGGTAGCGTCCAATCATCGAACGTATCCTCATATTACGTCAGCATATAAGCATCCATCACACACACACAGTAAACTCTACGTACGTAGTACGAACAAATGGCCTATGTACCTACTAAGAATGACGTAGGGAACGAAAACGATTTGGACTGGTTAATTTTATATACAGGGAAAGTCCGATATCTCACTTACAATTGTTAGCTCAGGTCATCAAAAGCTTCCTATTTTATTGTAATTTTGCATGTAAAATAGATTTTAATGTGATATTTTGTATAAAAGGTAAAGACCAGTTTTGGAAACGCCCCCCTCTCAAAAAATGAAATGGAAGCTCTTATTACCAATCATGTGAAAGAATATGTTTTGACTAATACGTGATCATACAAATTTTGCCGAGAAACTGCCTACTAATTGATTTATTTGGTAAATTATTATATCTATTTGGACCTAATAGATATAATGCACCTGTCGCGCACGTGTGGCGGTAGTCCCATATACATCTTTCTTTGTATAGTGCTTGTAACTTTATCAAGACTGGGCCAAATTTCTTATCATTTTGATGATTCTAGAACCTTGCAGTACACACCAATACTAACCGTATATGCTAGATGATCAACCTTTTCTGATCGATTCCACAACGTTTCCTTCACAATGTAATTGCATGACCATAACTGGTCTTTATCTTTAATCATTTATATTTTCATCTCATAAGCAAAACTAGTTTACGTCTTTGACCTTTTCTTACATGTTTTGATAACGAACGAATCACGAACAAAATCAACTGGGAAATTGCCATTCTGATTGTTCAATAAATCCAAAGTCATGAATAATTCATGCGAGCAGTAAAAGCTAGATTTTAAAAGGCCTCGCGGCTTCCGCCACTCGATCTATGCGTTCACCCTGGGTCTCTAGATTCATCTCAGCCGCTGATTTGGGTCGAAAAATAGCCAGTCACGAGGCCTTCAAAAGGCTAGGGCCAGTAAATGAGTTGAAGATGACAAGTTCGAATATAAATAATAACACAAGAAGCTCGGAATTACAGTTGAAGTCCACTTTATTAAATATATATATCAGCCGAAGCTCCAATCGTTGCAAACGAAAAGTATTATTATTATATAAACATGGTAAATAAACTGCTTCTCTCAGAGGCTGGGCGGTCAGATTGACAGTAAACTAGCAGCACATCCTAAACATGATAACGGAATGAAATAAACTCTCAAATAATATCTACTTTCAAATAATATCAACTAAAAACTCACTTCAAGCAAGGGTGCTTGCTGGCGTTGTGGGGGGTTTGGTCATTTTGCTAGATCCTGTTCAGCAAAAGTAGAGGAAAGAGGTTACCGGTGGAAGGGAAAGGGTAGTTCTCCACTACCAGGGGCCAGGTAAAGGGGGAATAATTTGGAAGAAAATGAAGTAGATATTTTAAGTAAATTGATACGAAAAATCCCAAGGTTACTGTTTTGTTAGCCAATACTCCTTGTGAGTGCATTTCGAACTCTTAAAGGTAGGGTGGGAGTACTTGTAGTTAGGTCATTGGAGGAAAAGTTTGGTATTTTAATTCTCTTTTGCGACTAAAAAGGCATTGAGAATTCGGTAATAAAATATAAATGTTTTAAATGTTTGCTAACATTCAAATTCATATAGAGGATGGGCGCTTCTTCAGATTAGATGTATATTAAAGATGTTTTGTTTATTAATTTGCTAAGTTAGCTGCACCGTTGATTCAGTTCACCTAATTCTCCCTTTAGTAAAAGGACAACAAAAGGGAAAACTATTTAAGCTTGAGTGGAATTTTCTAACGAATGATTCATTTAATTTGCTCAAGGAGGTGGATTGAGGCACCAGTTAGTTATCCGGGTTTTTCAAGGGGTTTTGTTTTTAGAAGTTGATACAATTCCCTAAAAGGTTTAGGGCCTTGCCTATCACAAGTAGGGGAGGATGCCCCTCATTTAGCATATCATAAAAGACCATTGAAACGTACAGAAAAAAAAATAACAGCGTTGAATAATAATTAGTGGATAATTTAGAGATCACTTGTTGGGAGCCCCATTTGTTATATTTACAATTCGTTGGCCTATTTACAAAATGCTAAGCTGGGGGCTAGGTTGAATTGAGGGTTGAATGTTTTGGGGAGGCATTTATCCTTTGATATGATAAGATCCCGTCTCATAATGTTGGTATAGTGGGCATGATATCTGGGTATGATATTTTGCTGAATTCTGCATTATTTCAATGTATCGAAATTTATGAATGCAAATATTTTGGTGCTTTACCTTGTTATAGGTTTCTTAACACGCATTTTGTATTGTAAAGATGGAAGGTGACATCATACGGAGTACGCTGTGGAGGTCTAGGGATATCCAGCTCCATTAGTTGTCCTGTATGATGTTTTTCCTGATATCATTCAAATATTTGCGAGGTACAGAATTATTGTTACCAGGTGATTTAATGTTTTTTTAAAGAAGCCATCCTGTGCCAAGTTGGCACTTAATGTTTGTTTGGTAACTGTATAGAAACAAAAAGATAAAATTAAACAGTTGGAGTCTACATTAAGTAGACATTAAATAGTACATTATGTGACAAAATAGATTTGTCTGAGTTTTATAATGTTAGTTGGAAGTAGATTCGATGAGATAATTATAGACTGCTGGTTGTTGCTGAGACTTAATGTTGAGATTATTATGATACATAATTATACAGGTTTATGAGAAAAGGTGTTAATTGTATGTATACCAGATGTGGTGGGCCAGTAAATGAGTTGAAGATGACAAGTTCGAATATAAATAATAACACAAGAAGCTCGGAATTACAGTTGAAGTCCACTTTATTAAATATATATATCAGCCGAAGCTCCAATCGTTGCAAACGAAAAGTATTATTATTATATAAACATTATAAATAAGCTGCTTCTCTCAGAGGCTGGGCGGCCATATTGACAGAAAACTAGCAGCACATCCTAAACATGATAACGGAATGAAATAAACTCTCAAATAACATCTACTTTCAAATAATATCAACTAAAAACTCACTTCAAAATCCCGCACCTCGCATTTAAATACCGCGGCACCCGATGAGGCTTAGATATTACATGATATTGCCAGCCAACCAGGAAGACTCTTACGAAGCCAACCAATTACAAGACGGGATATATCAAATTACCCTTTAGGTCATCCGACCAATTAAGAGAGGAGTTATACCTTTAATTAATTATAACCAATGACAAACCATAATAGAAGAGTGATATCTGATCTAGTCACCGACAGAAATTGGAGGAGTCTATCTCTTCGCGAGAATGTCGCGTCCCCGGTAAAACAGTCTATTGTCTAACTTGTTATTGGAAATGAACACCTGTACATCTTGATGCAGGAATTCATTTCCAACGTGATTTTCGAAATGGAACACTTTAATCTAATGCAAGAATTCAAACCCAGGGGTTGTTTACCCGTTCCCGGCATACTATTGGAAACATAATTAATGCTATTTAACTTTTAGGTGAATACAATTAATCAACCCAGCCCGACTCTTATATGGCTCTAGCGCCCCCTTTAGCCCAAATGAGCGTACCACTACAAATCTCCCCTACTAAAACGATCTTGCACCTGGAGATCGTACAAAATTAAGATAAAATATTAGA